TATCAGAGCAGAGTGGCCCTGAGAAGGAGGTGCATACAATTCTAGAATTACTTTTAAAAGCATACAGGGATCATATTATATGCAGTATATTTTCCCTTTTATGATTTCAATATCAAGCCTGTGTGTCGTGTGTCTCAGGTCACGGAGATCTCCATGGGAGAGTTCATCATTCACAGCTCAGCACTCTGGCAAAACCCTCTGCCCTCTTTGGGCCGCATGAGAAAAGACCCTGAACTCACCCTCTTCCGTAAGTCAGATCTGATTTACTGTAACTCTAAAAACCTTGCAGTTTATGCCGTATAATAAATGTATAATATTAAAAAGTCAGTGCAGTAAGTCAGTGTTTTTATTCCTCCAGTCTTCAAGAGTGCACTCATTTTGGTGTATCGGGAAAGCAAGTTAAAGAAAAGAATGGTGAGTTTTGGAATGTAGCACATGGGGTATTTTTATTAGGTCTGTCAGTTCATAAAAATATACATATTTTCATGCTATGCCAAATATTTAATTATTCATGTACTTGAGTATTTGCAGAATACTGATACTTAAGAACATTACATGAACAGATATTACTTTATTAGAGCAGATTGGTCTATTTATTGAATAGACAAAAAAACAATTTAGAAATCAAAATATACACTGCTCAAAATATACTGCTCAAAATGTTGGGCTCTGTAAGATGTCTGTTTATGCTCACCAAGGCTTCAATTATTTGATAAAAACAGCAATATTGTGAAATATTATTACAATTTAAAATAATTGTTTTCTGCATTAAAATGTGATTGTAAAATGTAATTTATTCCTGTGATCAAAGCTGAATTTTCAGCATCATTATTCCAGTCTTCAGAAATCATTCTAACATGCTGATTTGCTGCTCAAGAAACATTTCTTATTATTGTCAATGTTTGTTTGTGGAAACCATGATTTTGAGAAAGAATAGAATGTTAAAAAGAACAACATTTATTTGGAATAGATTTTTTTTTTGTAACAATGTAAATGTCTTTACTGTCAAGTAAAGTTTTATATTAAAAGATTTATACTAAAAGTATTATATTAATTCCTTAAAATCTATCTGACCTCAAAATTTTGAACAGAGGGCATGTATGAATATATTATATATTGTTACATATAGAAACAAATATTTGTTTTCTTTTGATATACTTCAAGCTTAAATTACAGAATTTACATGCAGGTCTGAGGTCAAGATTAATAGTGTTTTTAAGTAACACATTAAATTGACAGTCATGGTTTGGTTGCTGTTTGTAAGTTTTATACTGACAGACAGCTAACAGACATTTGTATGTTTATCCAACTAGACGTCTTCACGACCCGGGGATCTGGATCCTTTTAAATTCCGCTGGCTCATTCCTGTTTCATCCCTTCAGGTCCGACCTGGAAATTCAGCAGGTGTGTGCAACGTGATCTTCCTGTGTAAACTAAGAGATATCTCTGATGAACATGAGTTTGACATGGATTAAACAAGAGCTCTGTTCCTGTCAGAGAGAGAGAAGTAGATCTAAGACAGACATGGTATTCAAATACCACTTGAACACGTCACATCAGAGCTCGTAATAAAAAAAAATAATAAAAAAATTGTGTATCATGAATCTCAAGCCCTTTTAAAAGACCCACACATTGCCAAAATTCAAATCCAGTCCATAGCTTGCTTAAACATCCTACTCTTTCCTCTTTCAGGGTCAGAGAACCCCTGTGTGTGGGAGGTTGTTCACACAAAATCTGAAGTGGAGGGACGACCAGAGATGTCCTTTCAGCTCTGCAGCAGGTAATGATACTGAAAGTTAAAAAAAAACAAAAAAAAAAACCTAATAATAAATGAATAACATGAATAAAATACAACCTTATTTACCATGAGCTGATTCTTCTTAGCGTAATACTTCACCCAAAGATGAAAATTCATACTTTAAACATTTATTACATGAGGGTGAGTAAATGATAAGTAGAATAAAGCAATAAGCCCCAAGAAGCCGTGGTTTACAGTGAATTTATAACCGCTAAGGGGCGTTGTTAGGCACAACGCGAAGCGGAGTCTACTTATCTACTTCGCAGGGCTTATTGCTTTTATAAAACGGTTATTCCATATACGTAGTAAGGTTTCACAGAATAAAACAGAGCAAATAAAGTGTAATGATATAAATCAAAACAGTATTCTTCCACCAAACAATGTAGTTCCTCAGAATCAGTTGTGGTTGCAACAAAGTGGTTGCCGAGCAACACACAGAAGTAAACAAAGGTGTATGTTTGTAGTGTAAACAGCTTCGAACGTGGCTCAACCAATCAGAATATAAATATAAAACTAAAAACAATCCGTTTTATAATTTTCAGTTTGGGGCGAACAATCACTTTAAGGGAGTTTTACGAACTCAAACATTCCTCAACCGTAGTAAAATCACCGTAATCCCTTGTGAAAAAGAAGTACACTTTAGCATACTTTCAAAAAGAGTATTTATTACAGAAATAATATACTTTAAAAGAATATACTGAATATGGTGCGTACAATATCAAATAATACACTACAGTTTAAGTTATAATCAAGTACTTAACATGTGCTTAGTATGTTAGTCAACATCAGAATACTGTACTTATGTAAAGCACAACAAAGTGTACTTCTTTAAAGTAAAACTTTTAACTTGACATTTACAAAGCACACTTATTAAAAGGGTCAAGAAGCAGTCATGAAAGTACTTTCTTTAATTGCATGTAGGTGGCCTTTAATTGAATTCATAATAATACAGATTTTAAAATATACTTTTAAGATTTAAAGTATACTACAAGTTAGGCCTGGGCGATAAAACGGTATCGATATTTATCGATGGTACACCTTCTTCGATATCGATAGAAAAATTG